ACTCGTAGTCTCTTACGAGATCATTCATAAATATAAGTCACGTAAAGAAATTCAAACGATTAATCATAACCCATTTATCAATGTGCCTTTGGTGTCAATTATATTAAGATTTATGAATCTTTTAAGCTAAAGATAAGCATTATACCATTCTTTATAATCTTACATGACTTTCATATGCATTTCATTATAAAATATCTTTTTGATAATCCGTAAATGTCCAAATACGGAGCTACAAGGAAATATAGAATATAATACCAGCGTTGGTTATCTTTTTAATTCCCAGTGGTCCTGTCTTCCATTACATGTATATCTCAAGTTCTTCCAATTCCCCGGTTGGGAGCGAAAACTCTTGCGAAATGTTAGTTACTTTATCATGCTTTCCCTTCTCTTGTGCTCGTGCATTTACTGCAATTTCGTTGTTTTCTTTTCTCGTTAAAGGATTTTTCTCATTCTTTCACGGCTGTTGTTCTGGCGGGATTTTTTTTTTTTTTTTTTTTTTTTTTAATGCCTCTCTTTGTCCGACCTTCTATGCATTCTTGTGATTATATATGTGGATACATTTTCTTTTCTTTTTTTACTGCAGTAAGGCAAATCCAGTTCAGTGTTTTCGTGACATTGGACCTTTCGTATTACATGACTTCCGAGTCTAGCGTGGAGTTTTACCACGTTCTGTTAACATACTGCAGATTCGGGGTTTGTAAACATTGGATAATTAATAATAGTGTAAATATTAGTCATACATAAATATTTAGAACTTTGGAAAACAATTCCTTGAATATACGTACTTGCATTTACATTTTACCAAATCACAATGATCAATCTCGTTTTGTAGTAGTAGTACATTAACATATGTGTATACACACGCGCGCGCGCACACACACACACACACACACACACACACGCACATAGTGTGGGTGTGAAATAGTTATAGATTAGGCATGAGGATTGAAAATCACAAAATGTAAAAGTTTTGGAGGATCAACCGAGTTAGAGGTGAGCGCGTTGGCAAGAAATGTTTTTTCAACATTCCAGAACATAAAAAAGCAAAATAAAAAAGACGAGAAGGTGTATATGTTTGGCCTTCGAACCGATTTTGTAAACCTATCCGCCGCAACATGGAAAACAAACATATTTTATCGGTGAAAACCGTGTACCATTAACACGTATTATGTTACGTCATACGACCAATAAATACAAGTGCAGATCCCTTGCACCGTCAGTCTTGCAACGGAATCGTCTGATCCACATTCCTCAGTCATGTCTTCAACTGCAGTTCGAGTGTGCGCTCTCCTTCTCGTCGTGTTGATGGTAAGTACTCAAAATCAACATTGATAACAAAGTAAACATATTGATGTGGAGAAAAATACCATTTCCCGTGTATTTTTTAACCATAACTATTAGTCAACCCGATTATTCTTTTGTTCTATAAACCATGCATGGCTTGAGCATATATAGCATGTATTCCAATATTCTATAAACCATACATAAATATTCATATTCCAATATTCTGTAAATCATGCATATAGATATTTCAATATTTTACAAACGATGTATGGCTTGAGCTTATAGACCCCTTGCAATGTTTACATGTAGAAACGCGAGCGCATGGTGTAAGGCAAAACATCTTGTGACAGCGATCATACAAACTTTACAGCACTTTTGCGAATTGCGTTATACTTTTGAGACGAAAAAATACTTCATAGTTGTGCAGTTACTTGTACAAACCGCAAGCCTGGGGGAAAAAAATCTTCATTGCCTTTTTACGGAATGCCAAAATAGAAAACACAGACCGATAGGCGGAGAAGGGAAGTTGAATGCACGCAACCCGAAGAGAAAAGTGGAAGCTCTTCACTGTTCATACTGATAGTAGTGGGGCCGAAAAGACTGATGACCTCTGCTATGCACGATCAGTAGGTTATCTTCCACGTGGTTGCTTGTTCGTATCCATTTCTGATCGTGCCTGGTCTGGAGAAATCTTTCTCACTGAGTGGAGCTGGATCGACATTTTTCCCGGGTGCGTTCCAGAAACAAAGTTGGCTGGTATATGCGGCTGGCTTGTTTAATTTGACGTGTACTACTCTGACAAGAATAGATGTGCTGTCACATGACTGCAGAATGAGCTTAAGGCTGCCATGCACAAACAGTCTCCAGTGAGAACCCAACCATCAGTTTTGTTGAGGCATATCCAAGTCTTATAAAGTGCTGTCTTAATTCCTTGGTGTTGACTAGGTAGCCAGAATGAAATGAAATGCTAAATTGTACGCCTTTGAATCAGTCAGCATAAAAACCTTCATGTATGGTCAGAATCTCATTTGATATTTTTGTTACTTATTCAAGATTCAAAATTAATAAAGATTGAATTTGAGAATGTGAATATTCATAATAAGCATGACTTGTCTTCAAAATATGTAAATAAAAGCATGGCCTAAATGACAAAGAACTTTAACCCATAACTCAACTTCTGATTTGAAAAATGTGAATATGCGTGGCGTGTGTACAAGGTATTCGGTGACCTCTCCATGTTAGGACAGGTAGTTTTGAAATATTTACCCTTTCATTATCACGCAATGAGAAGTGGTCAGGAAGCTTCTCTTCATTACTAAGAGAGGGAAAAACATCGACATATATAAAGTCATTTATCAGCACCTTCGAGTTCTTTGAAGTAAGTGGAAGGCTTCAATTTCACGCAATATTTCCAGTGCTTCTTGTTCATCTTGCAGTCTCGCGTCGCCTGTTGACTCACAGCATGCGCGCGCATCTTGTTTACATGAGAGCTACGCCATGCAAGAAGGGGTCTATATGGCATATATTCCAATATATATAGTATAATATAAATACCAGAAGTTTACTACTCAGGTGGAGAACTCGTGGGCACGTTTATATTATGAGAAGTCAGGTGTCTGTCCTCTTTCCCCAGTACCTCCTCCTTTCGGGAACAGGTGAGTGATTTATTTATCTATTTACTTTTATATTTTCCACTGCAGTTCAGGTTATCTTGTAAGCATACAATTTATTTTATTTATTTGTTTTTATTACATAGCCTGTTAATTATAAAAGCAAATATGTAACATTCGGAATGCAAATTAATTTTATCCTCAAGTTAGCACATCAACTGTTCATGTATCAATGTATTAGATCAATGTAAGGTGGAAACCTGTTTTGAGTCCCATTTTCTCCTTGCAGCAATCATTGTCATTCCGACTACGACTGTCCAGACAACCTGAAGTGCTGTCCCGTTGGATACAAGAATACGATATGTGTAGAGGTCGCTGATCTCCGATCGACAACAGCCTCTCCATCTCGTTGATAGCTCCGCCGATACAGAGATAAGGTTGAATATGCAGGTCCACACAATCAAGAGTATTTCCTATTTTTATACAAAGTAATTAAACATTACTTGTTGGAATTTGCGCTGCTATTGTTTGTGTTTGTATTGACTGAATAATAAAGTGCTATGCATATGGTCTCAATATTTACTCAAAAGCTCATATTGTTTTTGTTTTTCAGAGCACTAGACACAAAATATTTTTTGTTATGATAATTTTCAAGAAATATGAGCAAATAACTTACTATGGCAACGAAAATATTTTTAAATGAAAAAAGTTTTAATTACTAACACATTGCTACAGTGGCTTTATTGTGCAATTAAAAAATCTGTTTCTCTTTTATGAGGAAAAGCTAATCACCTAATTATCCACTGATGCAGACAGCACTGATCGTCTTATAAATTCCCAGTGGTCTTGTCTTCCATTACATGTATATCTCAAGTTCTTCCAATTCCCTGGTTGGGAGCGAAAACTAGGGTTAGTTACTTTATAATGTTTTCACTTGTGCTATGCGTTTTACTGCAATTTCGTTGTTTTCTTTTCTCGTTAAAATATTTTGTTTCCTCATTCTTTCACAACTGTTATTCTCGGATTTTTTTTCTTCTTTAATACCTTTCTTTGTTCAGCCCTTCTATGCAGTTTTGTGTTCATATGTGTGTGAATACATTTTCTTTTCTTTTTAACTGAAGGAAAGGAAATCCAGTTCAGTGTTTTCGTGACACTGGACCGTTCGTGTTACATGACTTCCGGGTCTAGCGTGGAGTTTTACCACGTTCTGTTAACATACTGCAGACTCAGGGTTTGTAAACAGCGTGTGTGTTGAAGTCACATTTCTCTCCCAGTGCATTAGACGCTGAAGTTAGTTTTCCTAATAGAATGTGACTTTTGACATGCACATAATATACTGGTGTAGAAGGTACGTGATTAAACTGCAGGATTACGTCAACGTTCCTCAAAAGAACAAAAACAGAGAGAAGGTAATGTGAGAGAGATGAAATACAGCCATTGTGGAAAAAGAATAGAACCCGAGACTGTTTCGATATGTTCCCCATTTATTTGCACATCCTAATGAAATAGAATTTACAAATTTGTGTATGTGTGTATAAATATAATCATGTGTGTGTGTGTGTGTGTGTGTGTGTGTGTGTGTGGTGTGTGTGTGTATATATATATATATATATATATATATATATATATATATATATATATATATATATATATATATATTCGTACTGGTATACATTACATGCATACATAGATGAAAACAGCCAAGAACTGATTTCTTTCACAACACGGCAACCATTAAATGTATTATTTCGCCTTAACATTTTTTAGCTACAGACATATAATATCTATTATTTGTTAGATTTTATGTATTCTTATGAACGGTGAAATATGAAAAAATAAGACAGAAACACTTCGATATCTGTTAAAATAGTGATGGTCCTAACAACTGCTAACCATAGTAAAGTTAGTAACTAAAATATAGAGAAAAGAAGAAGAATATCAACGGCGATAACGAAATCCCCAACCACCAATACACCGCTGTTTGACGTAACATGAGTAAAAAAAAAAAAAAAAAAATAGTTCAGATACAAGGAAAGGTTTACAGTTTCCATCCGGGAAATCCCTTGCACGTGGGAGCCTCCGGGCACAATGCATGAATGATAATACTTGCTTTGCTTCCTAATGATCATCGACACAATATTTAAGTCCAGCTCGCCGTTGCTGCCAACACAGAGCGTCGAGTCTGCGGTGGAAGAGGGACCTCTGCTTCTCGTCTGTGAAATGGCCTCGTTCGCACTGCGCTCGTGTTTTGTTTTGGCTGCGCTGCTGATGGTGAGATATGGGCTTGTTATGATGTAGATATATATCATACATACATACATGCATACATATATATACACACATCTATATATACATATATATACTCACATCTATATACATATATATACACATCTATATACATAAATATATATATATACACATATATATATATACATATATATTTATGTATTTATATGTATACATTTTAAGTGTGTGAGTGCACGCGCACTTGTACATGTTTGCAATACAATGCATGTGAAAATATACATGTATAACTATTTAATGTATATAAATAAACATGAATATTCATACTATATTTTC